CTCCAAGAGACATAAAAAATTCATCCCATTTATTTTTATTAGCTACACCCTTTAGAAAGAATCTTCCCAGACTGAAACCCCAGATCCCAAAGTCAGCCAGCCACAACAGTGTGAATTACTCAGGGAGGTGCCAGTCTCATCCTCTTGTTCCTCCCACACTCTTCTGGGAAGCTAAGAAAATGTTTATCTCTCTGAGCCTGGCCTTCATAATTCCATTTCATCACAATTCATCACATATTACACACATTTGTTTTTGTTTCTTATTTACTTATTTCTTTTCATGGTTTAGAATATTTTCTCCCTCTTACTCTGATTTAGCTTTCTTTTTCAAATTGTTATATTGTCATTGGGAACTTTTCTGTGGGGAAAAAATGTTTATGTTTTAACTGAGAACATAATACCAAAATTTTATAAGTGAAATACAGGTAGTCTTCCTTTAGCGACCACAATTGGGATCGGCAACTCTGTCGCTAAGCAAAGCAGTTGCTAAGTGGGAAATCATGTGACCATGACTGTGCTTTCTGGCTCGAAACTGACAAAACTAATCAGTTTTACATCATTGGCTTTTGTTTGCCTCCTAACTACTTCCCCGCCCTTTGGAATGCACACCTAAGCACTGGGATAATTAGTAAGAAGGGAATTAATGTTTGTATTTACATTCACTGGAGAGGAAGGGATTATAAGAGAATAAGCAGGCACATCCTGCCACAATGAGGAATACACATCCAAAGCAACGTGCTTGCACTGGCAGCTGTGAGCACAATATGCAAACAGCCCAGTGTATTCCCCATTGTGTACCTGCTTACTCTCTTGTAATCCCTTCCTCTCCAATCTCTCTGCTCTGTGAGGGGGGCAAAACGGGTTGGACACAGGAGATATTGCCTACAGAAATGACTTGCTTCCCCCCTCCATAATGGCGATCACATGACCGAGGGACAGCACCATCATAATTTTGAACGGTCACTGAACAGGGCACTCAGTAAGCAAGGACTACCTGTACTCAGTACAGGTACTTTCCATGTAAATATTTTCCCTGCCTATATGCTATGTAGATAGATATAGGTATAAATATAGATCTATGAAACATATTCTGAGCTGTAGTTCCCTACTCAGAGTAGACTTGTTGATTCCCAGAAGATGCTCTGCACTGTGACTCTTCAATCCCTTGTCATTAGCCCTGACAACTGAGTGGGATTTGAAGTTTCAAAGATCTGGCGGCCACTATATCCACTTCCTGAAAGAAAATGAATTAACTAAATATGTATGAGATTGCAGGTAGAATCAGCAAAAGCTAGGCTTTAATACATAGGACATTAATTGAATTATTCATTTTATGAATATCTGGTGCCAGATATTCATCCACCCTGGGGCATATAATCATACCTGCTAAAGTAGCGTTCCCCAAGTTGGAACTTAACACATGTTTTGGGGCTACAGATTCCAAAATTGTCTACCATCTTGGCATGGCACTTCCCAGGTTGGAGAAGGCTATACTAAAGCAGCCCAAGATGTTCTGTTATGAATTTCTGCAAGAGTAATATCTGGTTCTCTCTTCACCTAGTAACTTCTACTTGATAACTGTGAGAGGACAGATATTCAGTAATAATGATTGCCTTTACTTATTTATTTTTCTTCCTCAGAATGGAATCTACTGAAAAATGTGAAGTTGTAATTCAACATTTTAATGGAAAATACCTGAAAACGCCCCCTGGTGTGCCAGGTAAGTATTATCTTCCACTGTTCAATTAAATTAAATTAAATTAAATTAAATTAAATTAAATTAAATTAAATGTCAATGAAAGGAGGAAATTCTGGAGCTATAAGCCCCTTAAGAATACACTTCTATTTCCATACTATAGTTAGCAGTCATTGCTTGTTTAATAAGAAGTATCCGTGACTCAGTGGAAATTTTGTCAGATATCTGTTTAGTTTAGCAGTTTGCATACAATTCCTTTCTGTTCCCCAGGTAAAGTATTGCTGATTCAAATATTTAATACTAATATGAATTTTATGAACTTACGTATATTATGCATGTAGTTTGTGTATGTTAATCAGTGAAGATTAGTGGTTATATAGAACAAATATCTGTGTGGTTGCTGAATTTCAAGGCATTTTCAAAATACTGGGGGGGGGGGGATTACCTTTCATTTTAAAGATTAAAACACCAGAAACTGGACTAACTTTTTATATAATTCATAAGTCCAAACACCTGAATATTTTAATGCAATTGTAATTAATAGTGAAATACAAAAAAGATAAGTAATGATTATTCAGTGAAAAAATAAAACTTATTTTCTTATAAGTAATTATAACTAATATATAGATCTTTTTTCTTTTTTTCTCTTAATTAGTTTTCTTTTTGCTTTTTGTCACTTTTAAGTCAAAACACTTGAACAGCATTAGCTGATTCTAGTTTATTGTGATCCAGAGACTTACCTCTGTGAAAGTACTTAGTTTAGTTTTGATCTAACACATGGTCTTTTAAAATTTGATTTAATATGCAGAAAAAAGTGGGGAGGGAAGACACAAGAAAAACATAAAGGAAAGAGAAAAAGGACAAAGAACATAAATATATACAAGTAGTCCCCGGGTTAAGAACGCCCGGGTTACAGACGACCCATTGTTAAGAAGGAGCCTATTATAGCAAAATTTGAGTTAAATACACAGTGGTTTGAGTTCATTGCACAATACTACTTATACAGTAATGTACAACAATACTGTTCTGGTTTATATACAAATACAACTTAAAGATAGATCTTGGGAACGACTCTTGGTCTTAAACTGGAGACTACCTGTGCATAAAAAGGCAGCTCAGGTTTTAAACACAGTGTTAAAACTTGACCAGATGGAATAATAGCGATCAGTCTTTCCATTACGTCAGTAGACAGCCAGTTCATAAGAGGAGAACAAACACATGTTATCAGATTTATGCTGGAAGGCAAAGATGGTGAGGTGTGTTCCTCTCTTTATTTCAGACCTGACTTGTTTTTCATATATTGTTATTCTCTTCCCATTTCTACTGATCCTATGCAGTTTTATGTCATACATCACTCCCAATTACCCCATACCCATTATAAATATATTAAGGAGCAAGTCAGATCCAAAGCAAAAAAGGAAATGGGAGAAGAGGAAAAGAAACAGTAAACTGATTTAATTCAGCCTATGGAACTTCATTGCATAAAAAGGCCACTGAACCTATTTCCCACTCAAGTTCTTCCGAGCCATCAGTGTAGTTACTTTCCTAGTATGCTGTGGTATGTTAGATTTTGTGTACATTGCTTTTTCATCTGCCACAATTTGACTACTCGCATTTGAAAATGTTTTTCTTAGTATGTTCTTGAAGTAGAAAATGGAATAAAAATGGTATTGTATAATCACACTAATGTATTTATCTGCAAGATGGAGGTAATATACAGCTACAAACAGCAGCCTTATATTATTGCCTCGCAAAAGTTGCATGTTAACTTCAACTAACAATTCCGGTTTTGTTGCATGAAATATGCAGTCCTTTGAGCCCAAAAAGGGTATCTCAAGGACTACATGAATTTTGGATTTTTACCCAAGCTGGAAAGGACACTCCAACCCAAAGTTTGAAAGTCTAATATTAAAAAGCAGGAAGATAAGAAAGATGGATCCACAGAATTCAAAGCAGGGGTGTCAACATCTGAAATATGGCAGGTGCGACATTGTGACAGAAGTCCCGCCCTTTGTACGTGAATATATATAAAATAGAGGCTTCGATCACAACACTGCACTTGCTGTCTTGCAGATTTTGACACACCCTGCCTGATATTCCCAATTCAAAGGTTCCTTTGATTCTTCCCAATGGGAATTTGAACTACCTCTGGAATTGGCATCCAATCATTGGAGCCATATGAATTTTTTTCTTTGTTGTTTGTGTGCTTAAGAATCACAGCTTTTCTGCCCTGTCAGCAAGAGGTAAGTAGGGCACTGGATGTCACAGAAATTTTGACATCAATCTTTACCACACATGTACATAGGATTGATGTCCCTGTCATTTACCTTGCTCATCCTAAGGCCAAAAATATACCTTTTCAACCCTGTTGCACAATTACATTGTCACTGAATGAGAAATAAAATTTAAGCTTTTCACCACCAATATGATGAGCAATATAAATGAGAAATCCTCACTTTATTATTGTACACAAAAATATGTGCTAAACAAATGGGGAATATTTGTATGTATAAAATGGTTATCCTGCTAATAACAATCTAAACTAAAGGTTTGAATCTGTATTAGATCAGTTTCAGTTCACTGCAGATTATTGAAAATAGAGTTCAGTTCCACTGGAAAAGCTTTTTTTCTGTTCCATGTGTAAATAGATAGACACATGGAAATTAGTTCACATATTATCCCAATAAAAAATTAACTACAGGAATAAAATTTTCTGTACAATATGTATTCTAAGAAACCATCAGAAGCCATGAATTTTGGATGTTTATTTCTTTCCATAAATACTAGGTTGCAGTGCAACTTGTCTGATGTGGATGCATTTGATAGAAACGTTGAGGATAGCTACGGCGACCATCCAGTCATCTCTAAGTAATGTCACATGTCATTCTGCAATAAGTATATGCAGTATAAGTCCACCAACTGATTATAAATGCAGCAATTTAAGCACATTTAACTGAAGGTTTGCATTTTATTTGGCAAATATTGCGGTTCATGTAGTAACAGATACTGCAAATTGTTTCCAAAGTTTAGAATGTATAATACTATATAACGTGTACAACGTATAATTTATATGATTTAATTCAGAGTTCGTATTCAGATGAAATCCTAGGGTGCCTAAACTGTAGCCTAAACAGATGGTTGTAGGCTCAGATGAAAATTGCATATGTATGTATATGCATCCAGACAGATTCACAAACACACACAAACATACTGTACGTACACATACACAGAATACCTAAAATTTCAGTATTCATGCTGTGGTTCGAAATTCAACATCCATGCTAATCGTTGTGCTTAGGAAAATCACACTTAAATTCAGGCTCCTGCAGCCTATAGGAAACTGGATTTAGGTGCCTTAATCTCCTATCTCAGAAGTAGCAGATCTAAAATGGAGAATAGCTGCTGCTGATCCTGTTGGATGGAAACTAAACCCTCATTTGAGTAGGGATAGATGAATCTGTCAGTTTCAGTTTCTCTCAGTTGCATTCTCCCAATCTTAAATTTGGTTTCTTCCATGGCTGTATCTGAGAGGTATTTTAAAACAGCTATCTGCATTTTGTGTTGTATGCATTTCTGTCATAAGCCCATGCTTGTATGGAATTTTGCCTAATACACATATTCTTAGAAGCAATTTCCCATAATACAAAGTAAATATATATGTTATTTTAGGCAATAGATACATTTTAATACATTTTCCCCCAACATATACTTTTTGTGCACATTTCTTAATTGGAGATCTATACTGCAAAATTAGTTGATTTGTTAATTATATTGAAGAATGCATGTTCTGTGGGAAAATATGTCTAATTTAAAATGTGATTTATTTATTTTTTTTGGTGCACTTTTAATGAAGAAAACAGTATAGAACAGACTTTACAAGTGAATGCATAGAAACAAACATAAACCAGAAATAGACATCTGCTATCTTGGACATCTCCAATTTGGAGATGGAAATGACAGGATACAATTACCAGTCTTTCTCATTTGATATGTCTTTCTGTCTCTCTCTAATGACTCAAATTATAATCTATATTCATTGATCTGAGAATTAGTCCCATTGAGCTTCTCTGACTGAATGTGGATTGGATTGTGGTATAAATAAACCAAAGCAGTGTGACAGTGGGTGAGTTCTATTTACTTCTACTATCTCATACAAAGCAGTGAACTCAGAGTGTTTGTGTTATATCTAAAACCTATTCAAAGCCACCTTGAACCTTCCTTCATCAGACCAACCTGAAATTCTGCTAAGTCTGGCTTCTGTGTCACGTGTTTGGGTGCATTTAATAATGAACCTAAGTTCTGAAGTAACACAAGTCTATTTCTCATTTGTTTATTTGCTTCTAGTAAAGGGAAGCAAACTGGCTGCATCTACCAGCAGAGTACTCATTCATGCCATGCTTATTAAACCTGGATTATCAGTCAGTTAGTACATGTATTTGCAAACATATAAGGATTTTTTAAAAATGAAGCCCTTGCTTTACTGACCAGGAAAATACATGAATCAAAGTGAGATTTAATTTCTTCATTTTAATTATATGGAATCTTTAGAACAGAGATATATTGACTCTGCTAGATTTCAGCTTCAGTGATTACAGGTTACATTGTTTACATATATCAACGTCATAAAAATCGAAGACTGTTTTAATTTCTCTAGTTGCCTTCTACATATGTCACTTTCATGTAAGTTTATCAGTGGAATGCTGTGTTCTCAAAATCATATGAAAATTCACTAATGGAATTCTCTGCAGGCTTGTAAGAGTCAATTGTAGATCTGTAAACATGATTGATTGGGCATTATCATCATTTCATTGGTTTGAATGGAGTGAGCATTTGAAGTAATTATCTAAACAGAGTGTTGTCAAAATACATTTTTGCATCAGTTTTACTGTACTGGAACTTATATTCTTTAAGAGTTCAAACACCAAAAGTTATATCTTGGGGACAAAGAAAAGCATAAATCGCTCTACTGGTACAATCAGTGGGTCCTTATTCCAAGATGATTGGGGAGAGAAAAGGTTAAGTAA